GTTTACAGATCCAACATGAGCAGCAGACGAGAGGCCATCTTCCTTCATGTTTAACTTGCACAAAACGGCGGTAATTGTGTGGCGCCATTGAATAAACATCATTCATATTTTTTGTTGTTTCCATTGTCTCTTTTGCTTCTTACCTTCTCATCAAATGTCTGTCATGAAATATACATTATTTGTTAGAACTGATGCAATTAATAATAAAAGATATTAGTATAAGATATAAGTGCCAAATTTACAACTCGTAAACCACACCTCTCCATAAAAAAATTAACAAAACGGTTACCAGACAACCATCACACAGGCTGGTGTGTCAAAACAACTCGCCGTATAACCTCCTTGTGACCAGTGGGGGCGGGGCGGCTCAAAAGTGGCCAAAATGACGTGCGTTGACATGCTTGCAATACCACCCCGGGCCGATGGGGGTGGACCCAGATTAAGAATTAGCCAATGCTAACATATAGCATTGGCAGACCTCTCGAAAACGTCTTTACAGGATGGTCCAAAAGTTGGTTCTTGGCCCAAAGCTCCGTTCCACATGTGTGTCAATGCTGAGGGGGGTGAATTTTTTTGGACCACTCTAGTTTACTTGCTGTGAATTTTTTAAGTCTCTCGTTCAAATGAATGGAGCTTGCGCTGGCTGACGCATGCGCAGAAGCGTTTTTTCACAATTTTCTTGTGGGCGGGACCACTCGCGGCCTATTTGGATAGCTCCAGTAGAGCACTATTTTTGGCCCATTTGTTTGAACGGCGGAGATAGGCGTGACTACGTCCATTATTTTAACAGTCTATGCTTGTGACCTAGTCTTTTTGCAGAGGCAACAGTGTGGGGACTCCGACCAAACATTGCGGTGGTTTAGACAAGGCGATAAATACAAAACTCTTTTATAGCCTGTTGCTTATAAGTGGGTCAGAGGAAGAAGGTTATAAAACTACACACGAGTCACATGATGACAGCGTAACGAGCCGTTTAGAAACGAGATTAAAGCTCTCACATCGAGGTTTTGGCTTTTGTGCAAGCTTTGTTTACTGTATAAAATTGAAAATGTTTATATTGCTTCACAATATAATTTTATCAGGGTGCACTGCCCTGATACTTTTTATTGAAGTTTTTACAATTTTTTTTACCATGTTATTTTGACATTTTCTTGCCGTGCCTATAGTGAAAAGCTGACACAGGTCTAAAAACATCACCAACCTTTCCCACTCGTTGACACAGCATTTAAATAATCATTCTCGTTTTGGTTAATTAGAGAATATGCATTTATCAATCACTGAAACTATTTTATGAATCCTTTGATATATGAACAAGACCCTCAAAGGCGCAACCCTGAACATACAGTAAATGAGTATTAGCGGAGCTCTGGACAGTTTCAGCTGCAGCTTACAACAGACAACCTCAGCTTCTGAAAAGATACTTCCACAGTTTTAGTGCCATGTTCTCAGACATGAGGAGGAAACGCATACGTGTGATGTCACTCAAAACACTGTCAGAAGTTTAACCAGGGCCTTATGCCTCAATTCCTGCAAGCAAATCAAGATATACTGTATCAGCATGCAATTATTCTATAGCAGTTTTGAGTAATTGAGTAAATTGATTCATTTTATTTTCCATTTGCAGTAAAACCACGTTGGAATGTCAACAGCTGTGCCACCTATAAGCAATAAGTGATGTCTGCAACTTTAATTGTATTTTATAAAAAAAAAAAAAAAATTATAGATATTTTTAACCACATGACCTTGTTGTACCATCTATATAAAATATGTGTTCATAATAAACATATTTAAAACAGTCTTGCTCCTTGGAGTAAGCATCACCAGTAAGATTTGCTGGATAGACCAATGGGGAGGGGCCTCAGCTATCAGGATTTTAGATCATTGTATCCAATCAGGAACTTGTGGGGGCGGGTCTAACTGGTGCTTGCGTTTGAAATCGTCTCTCCATCTCCACAATTTGCAAAGTACCTGACCTTAATATTAAAAAAACTAAATTTCTACAGCCTCTCCAAAGATAAGCCGTAATTCAAATGCTTGTTTCTGATAACTAATTAATTACTTACTGTATGACAATTGTAGGCAAAACAAAATATATGAATACAAAAAAAATGGAGCCTTCAATTAGACGTTGAGAAATACTTCTTTAGTTGCTTTCTGGAGGTGGATTCCATGGAAATTGTAAACCCCTTTTTCACATCCTCTTTTCATACAGTATGGTTTTTGTTAGGACGCATTGACTAAATGACCAAGGTCAGTATGTTTTCCAGATCAGAGTCATTTGGTGCTGGTGTAATCTGAAACAGGTATAATTCAGTGGATACTTCACATGTGCAACTCTTAAACCATTACAGAGAATTGTGAAAGAATTAAAATCCACTTAGAGAAACCTGCTCAACTTCACACAGTGACAGAGAATAATGGGTGACTTTCCCAAAGGCTACTTACAATGTATTGCGTAAGTCCATAGGGCAGATGAAAAGCAGAACTCAGAAAAAATTATTCTATGGGTTATTTGAGTTGATTGAGTTGCTTCTCTTTCTTGCCAATCCTGTCTGTGAGTCTTTCATTTTCCAGACAAATAGAGATTGTGATATACTTATGTGGTTGTTTAAAGTTTGAACTTAAAGAAGACATATTATGGCAAAGGTAAAGGTGCACTTTATTGATCCCCGTTCCACATCTTACCTACTGCCTTGAATTCTGGCGAAACACGTATATGCAGTGTCTCTTCATGCAACTGAAAAAGAAAAATACGTATTATTTACAACGCTGGTTACAGAGAAAGTACGAACTTACTGTTCTTGAAATCAAAGGTCCTGAAATTTGAGGACTTAATAAAACTCAAAACTCTCCTAATAATGTAAAAAGCAATACATGTCATGCTCCCAAATCTAATCCAACGAATGTTTAGGGATAAAGATACCATGTACAATCTCAGACAAAAAACGAATTTCACAAAGAAGTATGTTCGTACCACAATGAAACAATATTTTATTAGGCGATGTGGGGTTGACCTATGGAACAATCTTGAAATTACACACAAATAAAGCTATGACCAAACATATTTTGATCATAGCAAATGAATGCCCTACTCCTTTTGAGCATCATTTTTTTTATTTGTAAATGTAGTTATTTTATTTAATGTTTATTTTCTCTCGCTTTACTTGCCATGCTGGTCTGTACCTCAATGTCCACCTTGTGAAACACAATACAGACAAACTAACAAACGAATAGCTTATGGTAGCTCTGTATTAGCCTGGTCTTACCATACTATGATACCAATTTCATTTCACACTCAAGGTCTGGATTTGCTCCAATGAGCTCCGTAAACAGGTGGGAGTGGTTAATTCCTTTTGCAGATAGAAACCATTGGATCTGAGTTCACCGTGACGTATATAATGCACCTGATTGAGTGAGGCATTTAGAATTAGAAAAAGATAGACTGATCTCACACAGGAGAAATTTACATGTCACATTTGGCATGGATAGAATCACTCAAGATTCTCAAGGCGACTTTTGGCCCTTCTTGTACAGACAGGGCGTTGGTGTTATGGGACCAGTCCAGTTTATTGTTAATGTGAACACCTAGGTACTTGAGGCTGTCCACCAGTTCAATGTCCTCCTCCTGGATGTTCAGCAGCGTGTGGGAAAGGGGTTTTCTCCTGAAGTCGATGATCATCTCCTTGGTCTTACTGGTGTTCAAGCACAAGTGGTTGCGCTCACACCAGTTGACAAAGTCGGTGATAACCGACCGATTTTCCAGATCGTTCCCCTCAGACACGCAGCCCACAATGGCGGAGTTGTCGGAAAACTTCTGCAGGTGACAACTGTGTGTGTCATATGTGAAGTCTGAAGTGTAGATGGTTAAAAGAAATGGTGAGGGGACAGTGCCCTGAGGGGCCACAGTACTGCAGACTACCACCACAGACTCACAGCTGCACAGCTACATATACTGTGGCTTTAGCCATCACGTTTGCCACTAACGGAGCCCATGGGGAGCCACAACAGCTTTGCAGCAATGACATTTGCTAAACAAACCTCTTGCACCGGTTTAAATTTCTTGATATGAAAACCTAATGATCAAACAGCTGCAAAGTAGAAAAGGAACAAAAAGGAGTCGATTTTCTAATTTATTGTCTTTATTTGGAATCTGCTGCAGTCCAGAGATGTCTGTCCAACACAAGTGCATTAGTGCAGTCAACAATTATCCAAACCTAAAAACAGCCTCATAACCTTTTACTAAGTCTACGCCGCTGTTTTAAACCTAATTGATCCAGCTAACATGCCAGAACAGATCCAAGGTCAAACGAGCAAACTGAGCCTGTCGCTTTTCCCTGAATGATCTACACCAGGAGGACGAACTGGTTCTCCAGAGGTCCCACTGAAGTTTTCCTTCCAACCAAACAGGAACTCTCAAGACTACACTCATTTCCTCAGGTCTTCAGGTCGAGCCTGGACCTGGGGCCATAAGGCTTGTTGGACTGAGACCTCAGCCACAACTCCTTCTGAACCAGCCGGACCTCCCTGATCTATAACATAGTCTGGACTAAGACACAGACATGTGTTGAGGCCGTTTTTTGTAGAATCTGCCAAGTAACATCTGTAGGTGTTTGTGTTGCCCACCTCAAAGCTCCAGAAGCACGAACAGCCGAACGAACTCTCCAGTACATTCTGGTGCTTTACATCTTCTTAAAGGGTATTGTGGACGACTCAAACCCAACCTGGCAACTCTTATGGCTCCATTCACTGACATTCTCAGCAAATGGAACACTCAAAGTTAAGCAAATTATTTAACCAGGAACGTCCCACTGAGATTTCGGCATCTCTGTTTCAGAGGGGGGAGCTATTGCACATGTTTTTAGTGGTAGGGGAAACCGGAGCACCCGGAGGAAACCTACGCAGCCACAAAGAGAACATGCAAACTCTACTCAGAAGGGCCCTGTCCCACCGCGTCGCCTGTAGTGATGAACTTACAACCTGTTTCGCCTGGAGGTCACAGCTTAGACCTTGTCTTGAGTTTTCTCTCGTAATTCTTCTTGCTGTTTCTCCTCTTGAACGGCCTGGTCTTTCTGGGAGAACATTTGGACCAGCGTCCTCACGTTCTCACTGGGTCCCATGTTTTGCTGTATCACCTCTTGAACGGCCTGGTCTTTCTGGGAGAACATTTGGACCAGGGTCCTAATGTTCTCATTTAGCCCCCTGCGCATTTGTTCATCTTTAACCTTCAGTTCTATCTCGCCCTGTGTCTCCAATACTACTGGCTGATCCAGTGGTATCTGACGAGATTTCTTTGGTAACTGAAGCTGCTTCTGTCGTCGGGCTTTCTTCCACTGCTCCAATCGCTCCCGCGCCAAACCCAATGAACGCCTTTGTTCATCTTTAACATTCAGTTCTATCTCGCCGTCTATCTCTAATACTACTGACTGATCCAGTGGTATCTGACGAGATTTCTTTGGTAACTGAAGCTGCTTCTGTCGTCGGGCTTTCTTCCACTGCTCCAATCGCTCCCGCGCCAAACCCAATGAACGCCTCTTACTGGTCTCAACTGCCTCCAACTGATCTTTGACCTCAGTTACTTCCTGCTGTAGAGTCAAGATTTGTTGATCTCTAAGCTTCAGTTCTTCTTGACCTCGGTTAAGCTGCTCTTGAAGACTCTCCCACTCCGCTCTTGTCTCTCTGGCCCCTTCTATCTCGCTTTCTGTCTCACTCTCTGTCTCGCTCTCTGTCTCGCTCTCTGTCTCACTCTCTGTCTCGCTCTCTGTCTCGCTCTCTGTCTCGCTCTCTGTCTCGCTCTCTGTCTCACTCTCTGTCTCGCTCTCTGTCTCGCTTTCTGTCTCGCTCTCTGTCTCGCTTTCTGTCTCGCTTTCTGTCTCGCTCTCTGTCTCGCTCTTGGAAGCCCAAGGAAGGAGAAACCCCCATTCACCAAAGACAGATTGAGAGCTCTCTGTCTCGTCCTCTGTCTCGCTCTCTGTCTCATTCTCTGTCTCGTTCTCTGTCTTGTTCTCCGTCTTGGAATCCCAGAGACCGAAAAAGCTCCAGTTACTGAACACAGGTTTAAAGCGAGACAGGTAGCTCCCTGTCTTGTTCTCTGTCTCATCCTCTGTCTCGTCCTCCATCTGGATTACAACATAATCCAGTGGTATCTGACGATCTTTATTTCCACTTGTTTTTACACTACAAGCACGTACCTGCAGATTACCACTCATTCTGTTTGTATCTGTGTGCTAAGTTAAACACTAACAGTTTGATAAAGATGAGAAGTAAAAGTAAGTCTTGCCTTATCTGTGCATATATAAGTGATATGTTAATGATATTAATGATATATATGTGTATATCCTGCTGCTACACCATGGGTTAGGATTGGGGTTGGATGGTATAGGGTGTATTATTTTAAAGCCCAAAATGGTGAGTGTGACACAAACGATTACTAAACAGGAAAACCAATAGTCTCGATGATTCACCCAGAAACAGCACAGTACATTCAAAAGAATAAAGATCAAATCCTTCACATGCATTACATTTAGGTTTTTTTGTTTTATCTTTCTCAATAGTACCATCTGTAAACAATGTAATTGCCAAGAGCATAAATTCGCCTTAGTAACTGTAAACTATGTTCATTATTTTGCTTTAAAAGTCACTTTGATGAAGGGAACAACGTTGGTTAATGTGATTAAACGCTCAAAAAAGTCAAGTTTGCATAATATAGCTCCTTTAAAGTATATAAGTACTTTACAACCACACAATCCAGCAGTGAAAGCCAACAGAATTAGAGTCCTGCTTTAGTCCATGTCCAAACGTATGCAAGTTTAGTTCAGCATTTGATGTTGTGTGTGTCTGAAAGCTGCCTTGTTATGAAGTCCATTGATTTGACCACAAAATACAACTCTCAAAGGTATAAGCTCAGATTGTGTCCCTGCAAATATAGCATACAGTAAGGATGTATACAAAAATAGATATTATAACACAGCCTTCATTCAAACATTGTACGTCACTGTCCCCTGACCTTTGCAGTAATGGGCACTTGTGTTTCCTTCTCTTGGTTTAAACAGTTTGTTCCCGAGTGGAGCAGAAACATTGGAAAGTGCAGTAAACGTGAAGAAGGACCCACCACAGACTCACCGCTGCAGAGGAGGTCTGTGCAAGAGCGGTGATGTCAGCGGGGCAGGGCAGTTTGACTTCATTCCTTTACTTGAGATTACATTTTGTTTTGAACTTTATTTTTTTGAGAGATAATGTTGATTCTAAATGAGTGAGCGACTCTGGGGTGTTGCATAGTCAGAAATTGAGTACATTGTGATGAGCAACACCCCATCTACTGGTAGAAGTCAAATATTACATTTAGAACTAATTTTAATATGGTCTGGTCAAATTGAAAGCTCGCAGTTGTAATGGAGGAGGCCCCGGAGAAAACTCAGAACCTGCAGAACATGAAGGACTGAATCTCAGCAATAGAAAAAGACATTGATGGACGACAGTCAAATATGCGATGTGAGTGAAGTACAAGACTTCTGAACTCAAAGACCTTCTCATTTGACTTTTCCTGTTTTTGTTTGGTCCAAAGGCAAAGAAGGCAGACTTGGTGTATTGGCATGATCCGAATCATATCTGTCTGAACATAATTTTTTCTTCTTCACATCGTCATTTTTCAAGCTTATGTGCACTTGCAAAACTTTTTGAGTGATGGTGCAAACTAACTTAAGTTTGAATGATATTAATCCATTGGCACTGGTTAAAAATTACAGCTGCAAAATGTACCGAAACTGTACTCTCCAAAAACGAGCAATTGGTTCCACAATGATGAAAAATTAGGCCCGTTTCCATAGTGATTGACAACTCTTGAATGGAAAACCTATCATCAAAATGTTGCTTCAAACCCATTCATGAGGATCAGAGCTGCAATATTGACTGGCAGCAGTTTTGGAAACATATTTGTGATCTGTTTTCAGAAACTATAATTTATAATAGCTTATCACAATGCTAAATCATATTGAAACGCTCTTTTGTAATGATTTTAGTATGTCGTCAAACAGGCTCCATGTCCGTTGATAATATCGAAAAATGCATTTGTTTCCCAACGTTGCAGCAGAAATGTGAGTCTTCCCCCCAGACACAGTTTAATATTGAAACCTGAGCTGTTGGAATCTCCAGCATGAGTCGTTGGCCCCGGTCCCTGTCCCTGTGTTTCTGATCTTCTCTCTTCTCTCATGAGTGCATTTAAAACCTCAAAAATCAAGTGCTGGTTTTTGCAGACACATGCTTCTCTGCAGTGTGCCTGGAGAGCGTTCTGGATCTGCTCTTTTCTTTCTTCTTTCTTTGGCTCGGACTCGTCTGCCTTTCCACTTCTCCGAAAGGCCCGGATTTGGTTGCCGTGGGGAACCAACCAAACAAGATGTAAACAGATGTTCACAGCGGAGGAGAAATATGGATTGTAGAGGAGAGGTCCGAGGGCAAATGTCAGAGAAGCAGAGGGCAGGGGGGTGGGGGGTGGGAAGTTACCCAAGATGAGGAGGGGTCTCGTGGACACGGGCCAAGAGCAATGGGCGGAACAAAGCCCTCATTAAAGGTGGACAAGAATGGACTGTGTTAAGATGGATTGTGCATTTACTGCTCCAACGATCATAGACATAAAACATATTAATACAACCGAATGCATGAACTTACTGATACCCACTGGTTTGATGCATTTTGAAAACAGAGGATGTGGAGCCCCAAATACAAATGTAAACTTATGCACTGAAAAAAGTTACAAAAAGTGACTTGAATCAAATATATTGTATATTTTTATTTGTATGATTCCACTTAAATGTTCGCTTGTCCCATCGACCAAGACATTCAACATTCAATCAAGATAAAAAACACTTTATTCAGGCTGTTGCCTTATATATCATTGTTTTGCAGTAAATTGGGTTCTGTTTGGGCAACTCCACAACACAATACTTGAAATTGTGGTTCCTAATTAAACTGCTTGTGCATATATATTCATGATTTCTTGAATGATGTAATTTCCCCCATCCTCAAATTTCCACAAAAGTCACAAGTTTGGAATCTAGTGGAGTATAAAGTCGAAACCTTAAGTTTTAGTTGCTGGACAAAGTATGTGTGCACAAATGGAAATACTCACTTCATGTTTACTACACCGGAAAATCTACTTCACATAAATATATATTGATTTAAAATGTCAGGTTCAAAGGAAAATGAGACAATTCAAGCTTATTGCAAAGAGGCTTACGAATCTCAACCAAATCGTGGGCCCTTTGACATCTGGCCAGCCAACACTGCCAGCTCTGAGGAACTGGAAAGTACCGTGAAAATAAGGCAATGGTTATTAGAATAAGGCTGTGTTCGCTGTTAATGACACTCATTTGTTTTGCGTAGTATCTACAGTTCAGAGCCAAAAGAAGGACTGAGTCAAGTTTTTAGCAGACAGGAATAATGACAAAATGATAACGCCAACTTTTAAATGAAACATAATGCGGTTTATCTTTTTTAATATGTTACAACTTTGTCCCACTTCAAAACAAACCTGTAGATCCATCCGCTAATCAGGAAGTCTTGGTACAAACATGTAACCCCGCCCTTTCTGTCTAAAAGCATCTGTCTCACTCCTGCGAAAGCATGATGGCATTGTACCGCTATGACGTCATGTTCTGAGCAATATTCTGCCTTTAAAAAACAAAAGTGTTACCCACAAATTAGTGTTTGGAAATGTCTAAATACTTACAATCGCATGGCTATGGTTGCAAACGAAAAAAACTAAACATAACCCTGGTGGTAGCAAAGGGAGTTACAGGTGGAAATCATTTTTTATCCTTCATACTTGTGTGACCATATGTTTTCTACTGAATTGATTATTTCACATTCTAAAACGACACTGGGGCGACAGTAGCTCAGTTGGTAGAGCAGTGGCCTTTGAGCCTGGAGGTTGTGAGTTCGATTCCCTCCATGGGACCTACTCCAACTGCTCCCACTGATGTTTACTGTCGTTGTGTCCTTGGGCAAGACACTTAACCCCACGTTGCCTGAAGCCCCCGCTGAAAGACCAAGGCTGTTTCACCCCTGACGGAGCAGCCATCTTCCTGTGGACTCACCCCCTGCAGAAGATCAGCGAGGGACTGGTGCTATGAGCATTGGGTGGCAGCTCTCATTGCCACCCCCCCGACCCAGAAATGGACAATAAAGGGCTTGAAAATGAATGAATGAACATTCTAAAACATGAAATGACAAAGTAAATAGTCTCGTTATGATCCTAATGTTAAAAAAAAAATGCTCATATGTATTTTATAAAAGGGCCTTAATTAAGACATTTCTACTCCTCACTTGATGTTGGACCTATTGCACATGTTTTTAGTAGTAGGGGAAACGGGAGCACCTGGAGGAAACCTGCGCAGACACGAGAACATTCAAATCCCACACAGAAAGGCCCCGTCTGGAGGTGGAATCAAACCTTTGTCTGTGAAGTGCTAGTACTACAGTATAACCCACTGTGCTGCCCAAAACTTACATAATATATCCTCAAAACGGTTTAGTCTTCCTGAAATCTCCCTCAAATAAATGCTTACCACAGATGAGTTCCTCACAGCTGTGTGCGAAGTCATGACGTCTTTGCAAAGAGTCTAGACATCAAACTGTCGCTCGAAGTGTTTACACAAATTTGATGAGCCGTTGTTTTGGTCCAAAGACGCACAGATCCTGTGTGTGAATAGTCCGGACATGTATTTTCTGGGCTGCAGTGTAGTTCTGTGTCAGAGAGATGAGTCAAACCTCAGACTGTCAACATCTGTGTGTAGTTTGGAAATAAAGAAAAGGTGACAGACGATGTAATGAGGCTGAGCTATGTGTTCGAGTACGTATAAGCACGCGTGATCTCAAAGTCTGGGTTAGTGTGTCTCAAGAGAGAACCTAGATCTTTAAATTCAGGTTCAACCATTGCAAAATGTTAGCAATTAGAAAAATTGAATAGACTTTAATTAGCACTATCCTCTCCTCCTTCCTACTTTATCTGTTTAGCATTATTAGGATTTTTACGGTAGTTTGTTCATTGCTATTCACCCGTTTTTTCCATTGTCTGTTCCATGGTACGATGACGGGACCTCATGACCTGGCCTCCTCCATTTAC